TAATAATAAGAAGAAAAAGTATCCCTTTTTAGATAATCATGAACCAAGGAACACACACAAATCGCGCAGCAAAAGGTGAAATTGAATTCTCAAAAAAAAAATTCAGGAAAATCAAAGAGAAACTGTAATAAGAAGAAGAAAAAGAAACCCTTTTTACTTAATCAGGACCCAAGAAACACACACAAAACATACAACAAAAGGTGAAACTGAATTCTCAAAAAAAAAAATCAAGAAAATCAAAGAGATAATTGTTATAAGAAGAAGAAAAAGAAACCCTTTTCACATAATCATATGAACCAACATTCTCACACACACAAACACACACAAAGAGGGATCAAGAAAATGAGAGAGGAAAATGCAATATGAAAGAAGAAAAGAAGAAAAAGAAACGATTTTTAAGATAAAAACACATACAGTGGGGAAAGTGTTGCTGGTGTAGGAGATCAAAAGGCAAGTCTTGCCAACTGCACCATCTCCAACTGTCACACACTTGATGAATCTTGTAGCTGTGGAATTTGCAGCACCACCATTATTATTATTATTAGCACTCATTTCTTCACCATCAAGAACACCAAAAAAATAAAAAAATAAATGAAATCTTTCTGATTTGGGCAGATGAATAAATGAAGGACAATGGTGGAACCCCTTTTAATTTGAAGAGGGTTTTTGAAAAAAAAAATCACCTTTTTTTCTGTTTATTAATGAGTAGATGCCATGAAATTATGTGGGAAGGGAGAAAGGAGAGTGGGGAGCATGAGAGGGGGGTCAAGAAAGCAAAGTTGTAGCTTTTCTTGATTTTTTTTTTCTTTCTTAGTATAGAAAAGGTTGTGAAGTTTCACTTTATTTTGAGCTGTGGGAGAGGGAAAATATGAGAGAGAGAGAGAGAGATTAATGCGCCATAACTATTTCAATTTCCAACAAGTTAAAGAATTTTACCAAAAGTTAGAAAGGCAGAGAGAGGGGAGGGGAAAAATGAATCTACAGAAGGAAAGATAGACTCGAAACTACAGTATTAATTCTTCAAGTTTGTATAGATTTTATATTAGGTCATTTATGTTCAAAAAACTACATTTTGGCTCTTATGTTCTAATAATTTAATATTTTTGGTCATTTCCGTCAATTTACTATTAGTTCGTTTGTTAAGGGAGTGATGACACACGCTTGATTCCGTTAGTTTTAATGGGAAATTGACGAAAGTGACTAAAATTGATGAATTTTTTAAACATAAGGGACCAAATGGTTTTTTTGTAAACCTGAGGGGATTAAATGTGTTTTTTGTAAACCTGTGAGACCAAATATGAAATCGATGTAAACTTGAGGGATGAAAATTGTATTTTTTTCCGAAAGATAACAACAGCTTTCAAGAGACTTAATCGACATAAGATTAAAACTAAAGGGTAAATTACGGTCTGTCACCCCTGCAATAAGGTCAAATTACAAAAAAATCACTAATGTTTGGTAATTTGAAATTAAAAATATTAAATATTTTAATTAAATTTAATAAATAATAAATTAATAAATAAAGTTGGTTGGCCGATATTACCCGACTAACCAACTTTTTAGCATATTAGAAACCATTATCGACCCAACTATACATGGGTTGGTTGATATTATCGACCCAACTTAAATGGGTCGGTTGATGGTTGATTATCCATCACAAATTATGGGTCGAAAATGGGTTGGTTGGTGGTTAAAACCGATCCATGCACAGCCCTACCTTCAACAATGAATCTTCTTAGACATTTATTCTTATGGTGCCAAATTCAACAGAATCTTCTAGATTCTGTGATATGTTCTTCAGGTTATACTCGTTTTGTGCAAAAATGCAGTTCTTGATGCACTACAATCTGGTATTTATAAGTCATGAACTCGAATGGGGTAAAACAAGTACAAACATAAGAATATTCCACATAATCTAGAAGATTCCATTAAATTTGACACCACAAGAGTGAAAATGTAAGAAGAGTCGTAGTTGAGGCACGATGGGTGGTTGTAATTACCCAAACATGAGGAAGTTTTCATAAATTGACATTATCTTATGGGATGACCATAATTTACCCAAAATTAAAGTAAAACCCTTCAAACAAACTTTATTTCTCGATTATTCTTCTAAATTACATTTTTTTCAAAAACATGATTTGACTGCTATCGTGTATATCATCTAATCTAAAAATATAGATAAACATTACTTTCATTTTTAAACTATCTCTCAAAACAAACCGAAACCGAATCGAACCGAAACCTAAATCAAAATTGAAACCGAAAACGGACCCAAAATCTCAAAATCCGAAACCCGAAATCTCAAAATAAAAGGAGAATAACTCCCAAAACTATTATTGTGAGAGAGCCCAAAGAATTATTGGGCTAACGATAAATAAAAAAATAAAACCTTATGGGCTTTTATATATATGTGTTCCCTCTCTCTCTCATTAACAACAAAAACAAAATTTCTACTTGTTGCCGAAGAAAGAAGATCAACGAAGAGGAGTGAAAATATGGCGCCGGCGAAAGATCAAACGGCGGCGTATCCGAGTGCGGCTCGTATCTCCGATTCCGATTGCTACCCTGCTTACTCCGCCTCCCTTAAATGTAATCTCTTTGCCTCCTTTTTTGTTCTGTTTCAATGCTCAATTTTATTTTAGGGTTCCTCGAATTTGTGAAAACCCTAAAATTAAACTAGAAAAAGCTGACAGAAAAGCTGTAGTTAGTTGGGGTTTCTATTCAGAATTAGGTTTCAGTTTGAAATTTTTGAAATTATTTTGAATTGACGTAATGCAAAATTTGGCTTACAGATGATACTCAATTCGCAATTGAATACAGTAGAACCTAATAAATTAATAACTTCGCTTAAATAATGTACTAAATTGTTAATTCGATAATTTAATATTTCGTTAAATTAATAGAGTTTTGTTAGTCTGGACTCTATTAATTTATAGAGGTTTAACTGTATTTCTTTGGGAGAAAAAACAATTGAAGTTTTCATTGTATGGGCTTGTTAATCTAGTTGCTGCTTTATTTTTGAATTGACCTCGTTAAATTTATAATCGGAGGAAGAACAATTGAATTCGAGCTTGAGCGTCAGCATTTTTTTATGTGTGGATTGGCGAAGAGACCGTGATTATGGCTTTATGTACAGAAAATGTATCCATTGATGCTCTTGTTATTTACTTTCTTCGTTTTTAGTGGCGTCGGTGATTTTTTTACGAAGTGTTGTTGTATGAAGAAGTACGAAGCATTTAGCCTTTTCTTTTTATATGAACTTTTTAATTGCTTGAAGTTATGTTGAATTGTTTTTCCGGAACTTTCCAGATTAATTATCATATATCGAAACTTTTTAAACGTATTGCAGGCTTAGAATTATATAACACTGACAAGAGTAAATGCCAAGAACAATTCGACATGTACAAGGAATGCAAGAAAAAGGAGGTACATATTTCGTAAAAATAGTAATTCGACGTTTATTCTTATATTTTAATTATTCGATATTAATTAATTTATTTATTTTTGTTATCTTGGTTGTGACAGAGGGAAGCTCGACTGGAGCGCAATCGGAGCCGGTCTCTATTCTCGTAATAATTTGGGTTTTCGTATTTGTTTTAGTGAATGAAGAGAAGGTTTCAATTTGTCATACAACTTTCGGTTTATTTTGCTCTTTTATTTATTAGCTTAGCTCGTAAATTTCCGACATAAATAACGGGGTGTGACTCGTTATGTTTCTATATATTTAATGAAATCGTTTCACTAAATGCCGAGGCACCGATCAGCATTCTTGAAATTCTACAGTCGATCACTTTTGTGCTTATTCTTGCACTCGTTTCAATTGAAGCCTTTTTTTGTCGAGCTTTTTTGAAAGTTTTGTTTGATATGATATCGAGACGAGTTTGAAATATTATTTAATCGAACCGAATGTGAATCGGGCTGGAGTAGTAGGCATTGTCCATTGTCATTAGTCGTTGTCGATATTTTGGTATGACAATTTATTTAAATTGTTCCACCGAAAAAATTCGTTATCGGTTTATTTTGGTATACTTGTCTAAAATAAAATATATATATTTTTTTTCATAGCAATTTATATAAATATGTTTGAAATGTCGAAACTAGTAAGGTACAAAAATAACTATATCAAAAATCAAATTAAATAACAGTTAATGAACACGTCCAAAATAACATTTACAAACCCAAAAATTATTAAGAATATTGATTTTATTCTTAAATTTGTAATTAATAGTAATTGTCCAATAATCATTACTATGAAAATATGAAAATAATATATAGGGTAAAATCCTGTTTTCATCCCTCAAGTTTTCACTGATTGCACATGTGGTCCCTCATGTTCACAAAAAACACATTTGGTCCCTCATGTTTCAAAAAAACAACATTTTTTGTTATATTAACAGAATCAAGTATGTGTCCATCGTTTATTTAACTGACAAACCAACGATAAATTGACCTAAAGGACCAAAAATCTTCAATTATTGAAATATGACGGATCAAATGTATTTTTTATGAACATAAGGGACCAAATATCGAATAAGTACAAACTTAAGGGGTGAAAACTATAATTTTCCCTATATATAAAAATAAATAAATAAATAAATAAATAAAACCATCAGAAAAAACAACACAAAAAAAGAAAATAAACATAAAACTGAAAATGGAAAAAAAAACACTCCCCCATCTCAGCTGAGGCCTGAGCCCTCTCTCTCTCTCTCTCTCTAATCTGTATAGAAAGAGAAACCCTAGTTCTCTTCGTCTCGCTATCTTCGTACTGTGTATTTTTTTCCTGAATATATATACGGATATGTACAGAGATCGAGGCGGAGGGGCTTCATCCAAGGGTGGAGAGATGCTTGAAAGAAAGCGAATCAACGATGTATTGGACAAACACTTCGACAAGTCCTCCCCTTCCACCTCCAGAAACAAGGGTTCCGCCGTCGCCGTCGCCGTACCCTCCGCCGTTGCTAAGCATACTGACCACCGGAACATCCTCCCCTCATCCACTGCCAACAAGAACAAAGTTTCCGAGGGTACGCTGTTAATTTAAAAAAAAAGAGAAAAATTGAATTGTTATTTTGGATTTGTAAAGTGAATCAATTTGGTAATTGAAATCAATCCGATTTTTTTTTTTTTTTTTTTTTTTTGAGTTCGTGTGCTGCGAATCACTTTGTGTCAGTCAATTATGGTGCAATGTATGGATATTAGGTTTTTTTATGATTGAATATTATTAAAAAAAAAATCTGGATGTGTTAATGTTTTGTGGGTTTCTGTTGCTTTTGAGAATTTTGGGCTGAAGTATCCGTGTTTCTTATTTTTTAGTGGCTTAATTGATCTGTATGGGCTGTTAATTTGTGACTACGATTATAGATGGTTTCGTCTTTCGTGAAGTTCTTCAGCATTTGAATGTAACGTGGCTTTGGGAGGGTGGTGGAGTTCGTATTTTGATTTTGTTCTGTTTATACGTACACGGTTGTTAAAATTGCAAAACAGGGTACATATACGTGATGTGCCACAAGTTAAACAGAAACTATAGATTGCTAATTGTATCTATTTTGCAGATGAATCTGAAACGGACAGTGAAGAGTCTGATGTCAGTGGTTCTGATGGAGACGATACATCTTGGATTTCCTGGTTTTGCAACTTGCGTGGAAACGAGTTCTTTTGTGAAGTTGATGATGAATATATTCAAGATGATTTTAATCTCTGTGGGTTAAGCAGTCAAATACCGTATTACGAATATGCGGTGGACCTGATTCTTGATGTTGAGTCTTCTCATGGTAAGCGCTCTTGTATTCTTGACCAATATGAATGGCGTCCTCGAGTTGTTAGTCGTTGAAAAATGTTGTTTTCTTGCTACATTTGGCAAAACTAAACTTGTTTGGCCACTGGTGTGGCAGTAAGTGCAAAGTTCTTTAGGGCCCCGTTTGGTTGGCAAGATAAGATTAGCCAATATAAGATTAAATAATCTAATGAAACCCAATTATTTTATTGGAGCTCACCACGTCCAACAAAAAAAACTCCCTAGAAGGCAAGATAAGCGATGATTATATAATTTTGGCGGGTCGACCCGGCAATTTATTGGGGATACCAAACATCATATTAACTCCAACTATTTAGTTAATCTTAGTTTATCTTGGCAACCAAACGGGGCCTAAGGGTATAAGAGAGAAGATTTGTCATTTTTTTATGAAATTCACTAAATCAATAATGAATAATGAGCGACGTAATCTGATGCGGTGGTGAATAACTGCCTCAGGATCTTTGTATTTGATACTCTCGTTTCCATTTGTGAACCTTATCAGTCAAATTCTATATTTGTCTACCAACCAAATAAAGAATGCATTTGCCCTACTTTTATGAGTACTATCGATGGCTTTTAATCGATTGTTCGAGTCTCTTGTAACAAAAGTTACTAGTTGGTGTTTCTGAATCAATATATCTTCTCAAAACGGATGTATTAATATTTGAACACTAGTGTTAACGTTTTCTGCTTTACTACTACTTTGATTAACAAGCTCCCGCTCTATTTGCTACACACCATTTCAGCATTTTCATCGTGAAATTGGCTTAGTTTTCGTAATTCTTTATGTTTTGCCGTGGGGTTTACTCATTGTTGCAGCACATTGTTTAATTGTTATTAATTTTGTTCAGTATTAGCTGTTGTCTTCCCCCTTCTTCAAGAAGAATTATATTTGTAATAACATTTCATTCATCGGCGTGCACAGGTGATGTGTTTACCGAGGAACAGAACGAATTGATTGAATCAGCTGCAGAAATGCTCTATGGCCTTATTCATGTCCGATACATTTTAACAACCAAGGGAATGGCTGCAATGGTAAACACCATTACTTCATCCTTATTTTGAGTTGGCTACATTTTCTTTTAGTTCATTAAATCTCGATTAACTTGTTGACCTAACAGTTAGAGAAGTACAAGAACTATGACTTTGGAAGATGTCCGAGAGTTTACTGCTGTGGACAGCCTTGTCTTCCCGTTGGACAGTCGGACATCCCACGCTCAAGTACCGTAAAGATTTACTGTCCCAAGTGTGAAGATGTTTACTATCCTCGATCCAAGTACCAAGGCAGTATCCTTAATATATATTATCTCGTTCATTTTCATATTTTAATTTTGGGTGCATTTCTTACTCGTGCCTCTAAATAATTTTCCTATTCCCAATAATCTACAATTTTTTCAATTTTTGTCTCATTTGCTGCTTCAAAAGATTAAGCCAAAACCTTCATTAATCTTTTATGGAAAAACAAGACTCCGATTTCAACGAAAATAGAAAAGACGTAGACACATATGCTAAAATAACCTAGGTACTTGCATGGAGAGGTAGGCAGAAATGGAATTTCTTGAAATTATCATTTACGAACCCATTGAGGCAATTTATTATTACCGATTCCTAGTCTTGATTGTGGTGCATTTAACATTTAGCGCATTTGATTAGATTTAACCGGTAATTGTACCGAACCATATTTGTGTCGAACATCAGATTCCATTTTTATTAGGTTGACTTTTTCTTGACTCGAATAGATATTGATGGAGCATACTTCGGAACGACTTTCCCTCACCTCTTCTTGATGACTTATGGACATCTCAAGCCACAGAAGCCAACACAGGACTATGTGCCGAGAGTTTTTGGCTTCAAGCTCCACAAGACTTGACGAACAAGTTTCCAAATTATATCGAGCCCTTAATTATTCGCCAATCAGATGCTTCTCTCGTGTGGCGTGTGATGTATGAGTAGATTGTGAACAATGGCAGGTGAAAGAAAAAAAAAAAAAGATGCAGCAACTTTTCAATATGTCGAAATTGCTTGTTTGATGGAGAAGCCAGGTGTAGCCAGTCGCATCTGTAATGAACATTCATTATTTAAATTCAAAGGGCATGTAAAAGCTGATTTATTTAACGCAACGTGAATTGCTTGCTAATGCTTTATCGCGTACTTGATCGTCGTTATATATGCATAAGGGGAAGCCTCTTGCGATTCAGGCAACTAATGTTAACTGCATACTTCATATATAACACCAGACTTTTTTTTATAATTATTATTTTAATTCTTTTTAATAATTGAGAAATATATTAGAAGTACACTTGTCAATAATAGGATAAACCCGGAATTTACCGTTGAATTCTACCATTGAATTTACTGGAAAGGACGTCGATCTTTCTTGACATGAATAATGTGAACAATTAGTTATTGAATAGTTTTTACAAGCAATCAAAGATGTCCAGCTACTGGTTTTTTTATTGTTCATGTAGCAAACAAGAAACGTAAAAAAAAACAATCGATTTTCATGGCAAGTATGTTTTAATTGGATTGAGGATGCAATAGAAATCCATACCACAGTTTAACTTCATCTCGAATTGCACAATCATATCAAACTAATCGAAAGTATTGCAACCACAAAACCGGAAGTAGAACAAATATCAAAACAGAAACTATTCCTCGAAAATATCTGTTAAATATTGTAGAAAATACACGAAATTGAAATGCATAGGTCTAGAGTTCTTTAGTCGAAAATAAATATTCCAAAAAAAACAGAAAAATGAAAACCCCGAACACAAAAAACCAGACAGAAAATTTAACTCTCGGTCTGCTCCCTCAATCTCCTGATTGTGCTCCGCACCGTCACAGCACTAGCAGTGCTGCAATACAATTAAAAAAACATAATTAGGCAAAATCGAAAATGAATTAATGCGTCTAATAAAAATATAAATAAACTAAAATATTGTTATAAAAAAAATGTTACTTCAATGTGTAGGCACCGCCAGCTTTCACTTTGCCACAATCCTTGCAGCCCCAAATTCCGACTGCCTTTCTCTTCACCGCGTACTGTGATTAAAACAGTTGCCAATTAAGTACTCGATTTACCATCATAATCCTACTAACAAATTAATATTAATCACTTTATAAGAGCGCTTAAAAAGTCGTTACCTTTCCGCAGAACTCGCAGAAGTACTTGCTGTGCTGACTCACTTCCATCTTCTTGATCTGCTTCCTCAAACTAGCACCATATCGCGTTCCTGAAACGTAACGAAAAAACATATCAGGCGATGCCAATGTAATTAATTTAAATACAATAGGTTTGGAAAACGGGTAGTAGTCGAAATGAGATAACCTACCATATTTCCCAACAATACCGACCTTCTTCGTTCTTTTAGCCTACATAAATCAAATCGAATGTGATGGTTATATATCAATAAACCAAGAAAATGAATACTGTATATACATACACACATATCAAGATCTTTAAAATGCTGAGTTATACTTAGCAATTAAACAAATAAGCACTTGCTACACATTGAATTCAATAATTCTTTCAATAAAAATAATGAATTTATATGAAATAATTCATAGACCACCATTAGTTCACAGATGCAACATTAGGCAAATAACCAAGTTAATTAATTAATTAATTAATCATATATAAAATAAATCATTTCTAGCAAAAACAAAATATGCATCTGGTATTGAGAGCTGTCGAAATTTAACAAATTATCAACAATCAAAGTGAATATTAAAATAAAAC